TCATATCTATCGTTTATTTACTGTTTAGTTGGTTTTGTTACTAACATATAAGCAAAATGGTATTTGAAAGCTAACCTCCACATGCATTTGGTGGATTTATCCATGTTGCACAGTAAAATCAGTCATTTCTTTTTTGTCCTATCTTAATAACTAAAAATATGATTCTGGCAATCTTTTGAGTTACCTGTTTTATCTGAGTTAGAATTGTTGCATACCAAAATGTTTTGGCCTGGTATGGATTTTAAACTGGATTTAATTTTGGGTGCTGATAGCATAAAAATTCTTGCACATTATGTCCATACATATGTTAAAGTGTGCAGTAAGTTTACGTACAGTTGGTGAGGTCTAACAACTAGCATTAGTTTTGCAATACCAAAAACATGGAGTACACGTGTTTGAGTGACTCATATTGTAATTTGCACTAATAGAGTGCCACTCAGAAATAACAGGTAGTTTTGGTGATCTATGATGAAAAGTGGCTCTTATAGTTCAAAATTAGATGGAAACATCCAGAGTCATAACTGAGAAATCATTTTCATTGTAAGCAAATGGAAGCAGGACATGAGATATTACAAAATCCCTAACGAACTGATATGGGCCCTAGTGGAGGATTTTATTGCTGCTAGGAATGTTAGCTTTAACATTAATGAAATAATGAACACAGCAGACAAATTTTAGCTCTGTAAGCAAAGAGCAATGGACAACCCAAAGCATTTACATAATGACAACTGAAGAAGAATATATTTTAGACTTGAAATGGCAACCGAAAGAATGTCTGAAAAGTTTATAGTTAACCTAGAAACAAAATCTGGTAACAGCAACAGTGACACAGCCATTCAGCAAAGGGGAAATGAGTGGAATCAGCCCTCTGGACAACTGAAGACAGTTATAGGCCTGTTACACATCATCAAGGAAGAAGGCTTATCATATTGTAATATTTTATACTGTTGATGTTTGACAATTACAACAACAAGGCCTCTACATATTAACTACAATTTCTTGAAGTAATGCTTGAAACACATCTTCTTCAGGTGCTGACTGTCACTCAGATAGTCAATTTGCAACATTTTGTGGAATATGAAGATTTTAAAATACAACAGCCTGTAAATGTTTTATAATTAGAAATCAATATGTAAGTTGTTATAAAGTTAAATCTCACATAAAACCAGAACTGGCAAGCTTCCATTCATTCTTTGCACACAACTTACAGTAAAATGCTTTATTTTGAGTTCATCCGTGTCTAACACATTTAATGATACTGAACAATTTTTATTAAAAAACCCTGACTGACTTGGCTGAATTGTATTGGCATTTTACTTATCACTCTATAACAACAAACATTTTTATGAGAAATTATGGCAATAAGTGCACTTGCCATAGGCATGATGTGTTTTAAAGTTCTAAAAGATTAGACTTTGTGTGGTTCAGTACTGCAGATACTTGTAGGTATGTTGTAACATCTCATCATTAAAAATTTAACCATTATTGTCCTTGTGTTGCATTAACATACTGCAATGTGTTAACTATGGATTGAAAGGTCAGACAGCTGGCAGACCTATATTATGGGAGTTTAAATTTCCTTTTCTCATATTACAAAGGAGAACATGTGAAAATTAAATTATTCATAAGTTATTATATCAATATAAAAAAACATCTTAATGAAAGTTGCATACTTCTCAAAGATCTGTCACCACATAAAATTTCATTACTCTACATTTCATAGTGCTTGTATTGTTTTAACCTCAAAAGTTAACATGATCACCACGTTGCTACTGTTTATAACGAGGGAGTAGCTCCAACAGCAAACACATTTTCACAAAATTAGTCCAGAGGACATAATCAAGTCTGTTGATTAAGGTATTCTTGTTATGTTTAGTTTCACGTATGGAAAATCACATTAAATTCAGGGTAAGAACGTGACAAATAATTTAAAATTTGTAAGAAAATTAAATGAAAACTGACCTGAAAAGATGTCCAGCCCAAATTTAGGGCTGTCACATTCTAACCCATTATCAGACAGATTATTTCAAATGTTAAAAATATGCTTCAGAATTGATAGGATGTCAAATGATAAAACAAACTCACCTGAAAAGGTTAATGGTCACTGTAATGAAAAAATTCATTTGTTACAAAGCCATTGTCTGGCCAATATATCAATGCTTGCTTATTACTGGTATAACAATTTAATGCAACAGTAACAGTTGCCTGTAAATTAACTTACTACCTCTCTTGGTTATTGTGCATTCTTTGCATGACGTGTGTGAACTGAACACGTACAGAGCTGGTCTTGTTTGTCTGTCTGCTTGATTAAAATCAAGAACTAATGGATGGTTTTGGATGAAATTTGTCACATATGTAAAGATGTAAGTATTCAGAATGTCAAACTACAAAGGACAAATACAGAAACTGTGCACTCCAGTATGGACTGTATCTATTGAATCTTTATATATATATATATATGCACAGTCAGGTATTTGATTTATATTCAAACCATACATGAAGACAGTCACACAAACAACATTAAATATTGCAAATGTACAAAAAATGACAAGTTTAATAAAGAATTGTCATCATATTCACATGTAATTAGAGCAGTCATAACTAAATGTCATATTCAGCCCTTTATTAAAACCATCTTGTCTAGTTTTCATCACTGAGATTCTGTGTGTTGAAAATTTTAGTTTGATTTTCATAAAATAATGTTGTTAAAGTGCAGGTTACAGTACCTCATCACCAAATTCCAGGATGGTCTCTGATCCCATATATATGTTCTCTTTCATGGTTAGCTTTGATTTCATTTGCAAGTTAGTACAGTTTAGGTTAGCATGGGTTGCGTAACTTTGGTTTTTGATGATTAACTACATCATGCTGAAGGTATTCCATTGTCTTTTTTAAACACTGCAGATACCAACTTCAGGGTTAATGCAAGTATATTGTTTTTCCAAATATATGAACACCTTCAAGGCAAGACAAAGTAAATCCCCAAAAGCTGAAAACTTAAGGTTATCTAACTTCAGCTGAAGTTCTTCAGGTTAAGAATTTGGCTGGATTCAATCACAAATGCTCCATTCTCGATAGCAAAGCACTGCCAGATCATTATAACCAGAGGAATATAAAAAAAATTCTTACTATATAAGAGCAGCAGCAGGTCATTGTTACAATATCTTAGTGTTGTAGTATAATTGTTGGGTGAATTTAATAATATTGCATTAATGCATGATCTGACTTCTAGGCCACAATTCATCATTGGTTGGTTTCATTTAAATGTCTTACAAATTAAAATGAATATTGACAAAAGAGATGAAGAATCCAGTATGATAAATGTCAAAATTTTATTATATTTGTGAAATATTTTATAATTCCTGAAAGATGAAAGTCTGTATGGATGTCATATTTCTGGAATGTGGTACCAGCATTAGACAGAAGAGGACATTCTGTACGTCTCCTTTCCAGGCATTTCTATGTCCCTCCATGTTTATATTCATGAAGCTAGTTTTAATAATAATAACAGCAACATATGTGTATATAATTAGCAACCATTTGTAAATATTCCATTACAAACAAAATCTGAATTCTCTATGAATGCACAGTTATGTGAAAGCTTCTCTCCAAAGTCAAAATATGTTTCTGACCTTTATGTGTCATGGCATTCACAGAGATCAGCTGGCCGTGCATCACAGTAGCATATAGCAAGGTTTAGACACATTTCTATTTCTGTAGCAGTGAGTTATAATTTGTGAAGAACATACATAATATAGTTGTAAAAGTTTCCCATTGCCATAATTACTGTTGAGAGCAGCATGAAAACGAAACTCTGCAGATTCTGTTTATTTGATCAACTACCTTCAGAGTTCAGTTACAAATTGCTTTACCTTTCATGAGAATGGCAACTTGACATTCTTTCTAAATTCAATATGGCCACAAAATAGGTTATGCAGGGTTCTCAGATGTCAGAGCCAATTATCATCTCTGACTTTATATAGGACAGATGTAGTGTGCCAACTATTAATTTTAGTGTGTGTGTGTGTGTTCAGGACCATTGTGCCACTCATTCCTTAGAATAAAAGGAGGATATTAATATTAGTAGGTAAGCTTGACATATTAAAATATGTTTAATTGTAACCAAGAGGGAAAACAAACTCTTTTATAGGTTAGGTTTATTATCATATTTAATTAATGAAGACTGTTTAACTCCATTCATGACAAAAAAAAGGCATATTGAACAAAATGGTAGTCAGATATGAAGAAAGGAACCTGGCATGAACTATCATGGCCAACAAATAAGTTTCTTAAATTCACTTTTATTTGTAAATATTTGTGTATTTAGAGCAGGATTCTCATGTATAATAAAACTGTGTCAAAATGGTACATTCCTTTATTTAAGTACAATGCTTGTATTAGCAAGATATCTCTTTACCTTCTCTAGCCACTTTGGGAACAGAGAGGTATCCTGGTCCCTAGTCTCTGCCCATATGAATGAAGCACAGTTACATGCCAAACCAGATTTCTTTGTAGCAGGGCTGTGGAGGTGATACTAAAACCTTCGACTCCAACTTCTTCATAAAAGTTCAATATGTATTATCAATAATGGTAAACCTACTAAAATCATAAATGATACCATAATATATTTCATCACCACCACGTGAATCATCAGACTACTTTTTATACTTACAACCTATATTTAAATATAAGTCTAATGGTTATTGCAGAAATCGGTTGATTTGTAGACAGTTTGTATTCTTAAGGTAACAGAGCCAAAGTTACAAAGTATTATTCCCACACCGTGTGGCTCAATGCATCATTGAATCTCCCTAAGCACGAAGCCGCCGGCAGCTCACACACTAGCGAAAGTGTTAAAATAGTATTTTCTTAAGATTTTATATCGTCAGAGTCGGTACATATTTACTGACTCAGACTCCACCTAAAATTGCTTCCGACTCCACAGCCATGCTTTGCAGCATATTCCCTATGTCCTGAACTTGGTGAAGCCTCATTCACTTATGTTTAGGGAAATGAATGGCAGTGATACCAGGGTATACTTATGCTACCCGGGTTTCCCCCAGACTATTACATTCCAACCATCAATGTAAAAAATATGTAATACTTTTTGTAGTGACAGATATAGCAACCAATTATCTGTGACAAGAAGTAATATTTGTTGAAGTCATCTCCGTACTTAAGCATCACAAAATTAAATTCACACAGGGAGAGTGGAAGAGAAGCTCCTTGCATTTCTAGCCTCTAATATATGGAGGTGAATAGGGAGAGTCATGTACCTGCTACATTACCTACAACAAAAGAGCCACTCACACATATTAAATAGGAAACAAGACCCAACATGGATGTGAAGTCTCTGAAAAAATCCCTATCCTTGCCACAAAATCGAGCTCCACAAGTTTTATGAGATTTAAGTTTTCCTCAGTATTGAGAATTCAAATTACGGTTCTCTGGATTGTGATACCATATAGTCTTGTTGATGGTACCAAAGTTATGGATGAGCACATTAGAAAAGGGTATAAGATAAAGGAATTCTGTTCTTCCAAAATAATGGTAACTACTGCAGGACTCATTAATATTTTTGTATACAAAATGTGTTCCACAGCTTTGTAAACATGCTTTCAAACAACCATTTAATAGGCCAATGAAGTAAACATCGGATGTGCTAAGATACTGTTCTCAAATAAACACTCTGTCATCAACAGTTCAAAGTTCTTTGTGGTACTATTGTAACACATTTACTGCCAAAATCATGTTTTTTTATTATTTATTGCCCACACTGAAATCCCCTGATTTAGCACATCATTCCTTATAACATAAATACTACTGGGAAAATGGCATCACATATGTATAAAGTTGCATGAAGTTTTCATTTACATATCAACGCATTATAAAATGTCTGGTGGCTTTTCCTCCTGTCTGCTCCCTTATTTTTACAATGCACAGTAATACTTGTTCATCCAGTGCTGTCTACATAACAGATCACAGACATGTGCAGTTGTGTGTTGGCACTGTACAGAGTTCTCAGCTGATCTCTTGGCCTTCAGTTTTTTGTGGGTTTTTTATGAGTTCCATGAAAGTATAGTCACAGAATATCAAAGAATGGTGTAGTAGCAGAACACACAGCAGAAAATTCAGATGACGTGTGTAAAAGGGCAGGCACATCAAAGGTGAAGCCAAAGTGAATCTTTGATATTTATACAGATAATGTGAACTAAACTGTTTAGTATATTTTGGATTATCAAGAACAAAACACTAACATATTTGCAGAAGGGATTATTCTTTTATCTTCTGCAGTATGCCAGCTTTAACCAAAGGCAAAGGAATCATTTTTCAAACACGCTGGTAATCCATAAACTACACAGAGCTAGACAATCAATGAAGGCTGCTCACACCATAACCTCAAAGTCTACTAAAGGTGCAAACGTTTTTCTTCTTTCTCAAAAGAACATCAACAGGACAGCAAATATTTTTGTGCTCAGTGTGGAGTTCTACATCCTGAAGGCATGGGACCACATCCTCAAAGTTACTAAAACTAATATAAATTTATCATATCTCCTTTTCTGAAATTAGTAAAATATAATTTTCAGACACTTCAAAACCTCATCCAGGGGCTTTAAGCCCATGTATTTAATTAAGGCCTGCTTTTATATGCCTAGCAGTAAATATGTTGACATTATTCTCCATAATGGTCACATTTCATTTGCATTATAAACAGACTTTACAATGCACAAAGATGTTACAATTGGCATATCACAATAAATTATCTACATTTTAATTCTTAACTGCACCTCACTGTCATAGCAACACAGGAGTTAAGAATTAAACTTAATTGAATTGTGCTTCATGATTGGCCACTGATTTGTCTTTTTCATTTCATCAAGCGTAGTTTCAAACGAAGTACAAGATAAGCAACACAACGGAGCAGGAGAAAGAAACCAGCGAGGGCAACCGCATCTATCCAGTACTCTGCTCTTGCCATGTCCATCTCCTCAAGGAACATTGTTGAGTTCCTGAAGTGGCAGTATTCTTCTGAGCAGGACAGCTTCTCACGCCCATAACCATATATAGATATCATCGCTCCCTCAAAGCCATATCGAATGTAACTAACATATGTCACCCACTGCAGATAGCCAGGAATTGTGTTGAAGTTCACAAAGAAACCAGAAAACAGAAGAATTGGCACTGATGCTACTGGCCCAAAAAACACTCCATTCTGAAATGAAAATACTGCACTGTAAAATTATATTTTTACAGAACAGGCCAGGAGCAAATTTGTTCTCTGAAAACTATTTTTACAGGAAAATTTAAATTCTGCAATTTGCTAAATAATTCATTAAAATATTTCTGAATAATGACAAGGAATAAACATACTTACCTGTAATCTGAATGGTTCCCTTTGTTAAGGTTTCATATAGTATGAATGCAAGTACGTTCAAGAGTTTCATAGGAGCAGTGCTATAGATTTATACTTGAAAGAAACATCACACTTTAACTAAATGATTCGAGTTTATGGTTGTAGTAACAACAAATCTGAGTTCTTAGGTTCCCATGGAACTAAAAATGTCAAAAGTGGTCTCCTGGATTATGACATTAAAAGTCTTTTAAGTGATCATCACACAGAAGTCCATGTTCAATAATAAAGGAAAGTACATAATTAAAAAATTCTCATAAATCTCATGCTTCATGTATAGAATTTTGTTTTTCAAGATTATAAACAAGCCTGCATACTGTCTGATACTTCTTGTGCATCCCACCATTACTCTGACCATTCAACCCTATAAAATATATTATAGGCAAGTGTTCTAAAAGTTATTGTATGGTCATATTTACATAATTCTGATATTTCTGACCTTTTACAAAGAGTGAAATAATTCAGTTATGAGGACAGGATTCCACTTCCTCACAACATAGGGTGATGAAAACTGGCGGGGCTTTCGCAGAAGTCTCACATACTCCACACGTACAAAACTTTGACTTTCCCAGAGGTGAAAGAATAATTTACATTGCAACTTCTTAGATGTGAATCTGAGACCATTACCACAGCAGTCCTTAACCCTAGATCACCAACCCTGAACTGTGACCAGAAAATGATACATACCTCCACACTCATGGCTGCTCCTATGAGGAGACCAAGGCTTTGAGCGACAACAGATGTGAGAATGCACATGGTAAGTAGCATCATGAACCGCATCACTTCAGGTGGTTGTGATGTCATGAAGTAAACAATCACTACGTAGATGATTGAAAACACAATCTGTAATCAATCATCACAGTTGAGGCTGACAGAACAGCATGAAATAAGAAAACTCTAGCATGAAGCGTATCTGACAAAAGCAATGCTTTGGAAGTCAAAGGCAACTCCATCATTTTGTGACTGATTCTTACCTGAAAAGGAAGGTCTGCCATTGTTTTTGCAAAGTAGAAAGACTTCAGGGAGTACCAGTAGTTTAAATGTTCTCTCATAAACACGGCCATTTCTACTGGAACTTTACACAAAACAAAATAACAAACATCAGTCGTTTCATCTGTAGGAAACACTTGCAAATGATACATTATAACATCTACATAGTAAACTTCTCTAAAGCAGCTGATGTCTTCTGAACATTACATGGTAAATAGAAACAAAATAACCATCGCAGAATTATGTGTTATTTTATCTAGTCCACTTGATATAAAACATCACTTAGTTATGCTCTTATGCTTCATATGAAATCAAAGAAATTGGGTGTTATCAGACTACTGATTTCTGTATTGATCTTTATTAATGAGAAGCTGAAATGAGCTCTTTTTAGTTTCAAATCACTACACAGCAGCAGTGTATTCCACACGATGCATCGAGGTTTCACTGTACACAGCAGCAGTGTCTTCCAAGTACTAGGTATTTACAGACAACAAATCATTGAGAGGTATCTAAGCGGAAGTAATGGGAGGCCGGAAAAATTGCATAATTAGGATATCAATAATTTGTTGTCCACACCAAACATTATAAGAGTGGTCCTATGAAGGAGATGAATGCAACACATATAGAAAGATGAGTAACAGTGCATACAAAAGGTAGGCAATTTAATTGGCTAGGCAACTATTAACTTCTCACGAAGGTTTATGCTCTGTGGAGTTAGTTAGGCATAAGTTCCTTTCCTTGAAGTTATTATCTGTGTTGGGAGAACCTAAAGCAAACCATGAAAGACCATGGTTATGACATCTAGCACTAGCCAGGATTTCAACCAAGTATGTAGCTCCCAGATGCCATACACTCACATTCCCTCTGTTTTGAATATTCTGTCTTCCCGCATCAGTCCAGAGACCAATTATTCTGACTGATGTTTCTTGTAGTAGTGTTCCTTCAAGCAAACTGTGGAATAGTGTTTCAAGCAGGTCACAACCACTTTACCTTCACATTTTGTCATTCAGGGCTCTAACAACAATGAAAACAAAAATCACTTACATGTGAGAATGGTTGGCATCATGGCAGTGAACATTAGAAAAAGTATGGTGAAGAAAATGCACCCAGAATTGCTCATTACTTTAGAGGCTTCATTGCCAATGCCAAAGTAAATCATCCCTATGAGCAGGCCGACCACTACGTGAGAGAAAAACCTCATCTGTGTCAATGTCTGAAAAAGAAAGAAAGAAAGAAAGAAATGTAAAGTCTCAACATTATTAGAAATTATTTACCTGATTTCACACTTCAGAGAGATATGTATATCTGGAAAGATATTAACTTGAGTATGATCACAGTGGACAGTACTGTTCATTTGAGCCGCATGAAGGATCTAGAATTACAGACATAACTGATCTGGTTCCCAAGTTCTAAACTGGAATGCACATTTAAACAGGACGTAGAACTATAAAACGTTAACATCACTGGGCTACAGATATTGCTCACCTGATCCCTCATGGTGGATAAGAATGTTCGTTTGAGTAGGATGTAGAACTGTAGAAAACTGGAAGTTGGGAACCCTGTATTTTGTTTGCAATGCTTGAGATTCTCATCTGAGTCCAAAAGAGACGTGGTACAGGTCACTCCTGGAACTGACACTGTGCCTCCAGTCATGCCATTTGAAAGTATCCCTGCAAATATATAAAACACCAATACCTGAATGGAAAGTATGTGGAACTCAAACAATTCCATCACAGAAGCCTGTCTCGATTCTGGCAGCACTAAGATGATCGTTGATTCAGTTGCCTTCAAAATACTACACTTCAGACTCTACACACTCTGCTAGTACTTGTATAACTTCACAAAAATAAGACATTTATGTTACTTTGACATCTGCAAGAATGCATACCTCCTAACTCTGTGGCTAACTCACCCTTCTATGTAATAAGAGAGAAAAACCTCATCTGTGTCAATGTCTGAAAAAGAAAGAAAGAAAGAAATGTAAAGTTTCAACATTATTAGAAATTATTTACCTGATTTCACACTTCAGAGAGATATGTATATCTGGAAAGATATTAACTTGAGTATGATCACAGTGGACAGTACTGTTCATTTGAGCAGCATGAAGGATCTAGAATTACAGACATAACTGATCTGGTTCCCAAGTTCTAAACTGGAATGCACATTTAAACAGGACGTAGAACTATAAAACGTTAACATCACTGGGCTACAGATATTGCTCACCTGATCCCTCATGGTGGATAAGAATGTTCGTTTGAGTAGGATGTAGAACTGTAGAAAACTGGAAGTTGGGAACCCTGTATTCTGTTTGCAATGCTTGAGATTCTCATCTGAGTCAAAAATAGACGTGGTAGAGGCCACTCCTGGAACTGACACTGTGCCTCCAGTCATGCACTCAGGCATGCCATTTGAAAGTATCCCTGCAAATATATAAAACACCAATACCTGAATGGAAAGTATGTGGAACTCAAACAATTCCATCACAGAAGCCTGTCTCGATTCTGGCAGCACTAAGATGATCGTTGATTCAGTTGCCTTCAAAATACTACACTTCAGACTCTACACACTCTGCTAGTACTTGTATAACTTCACAAAAATAAGACATTTATGTTACTTTGACATCTGCAAGAATGCATACCTCGAATGAGTTAGTGTTAACCTTTGAACAAACACGGCATGCACAATGTGTGCAATATAGAACAAACGTGGTGTCTACATAAGTAGAAGCGATGTAGTATCTCTAATCTAGGTTGTGACAACATACATATCGAAATTATCGATTACAGTTATAAATGACAAATCAGTCATTACATTCCTAGAAAGCAGACATAACCTGTTATATTTGTGAAGTATTTTCAGTTTTTTTAAAGTTGCACTGCTTTTAAAACTTTTATAAAAATAAATATTAGAGGTCAGTGTTGTAACTGCTAAATCACAATTGTTATCTGACACACAGCGCTTATACAGAATGGAAATGAAAGAATGCTGAATACCTAAAATTTTTGTGTTGTCATTAATGACTGTAATAGAGGAATAGACATTCAATCTGTTGTCAAATGTCAAGTGGCTGCAGAGAATAATGAGCATTCATTTATTTGTACATGAACAAATGCAAACAGTAAATCAACTGAAAATTCAAATGTAAAGACAATTTATTGAAGGTGACTAGTCACAAGATCTACTAAGGGGTGGTTCTAAAGCAAGAAAAATATTCCAGGTTAACTTTAAGAATCCTCAGTTTGTATTTCAGCTTATATTAAATGACTGAACTAGCAGACAAACTGACACATTACTGTCGCCACTCGTACATGGCTGGTCACTTCCCTTTGCACCTTTCAGTCGTATCAGAAATAAAATGTTAGTTGGCAACTATCTAAAAAATTATGTTTTCAGTTTAATGATGATCACTGACAATACCAATGTATTGCCAGTGGGATGCAGCTGAATCAGAATAGCATTACTGACTAAGCCACATTACCAAAAGCAATTTTTTGCAGTTATGGGGAATGGTCATACTCACTTTGTAAAAAATAATTAAATAACTATGTGCACATTGGCACTGCACCTACATGACTGGAGAGAGCAATCGAAAACACCCACTATATCAAGAATAGGGAAACGGCACTCTCATTACAACCATAAATACTCCTATATTTAACAACGATATATTAACCACGCATAAAAACCATATGTAAAAACAGACTTGTCGTTACTGGTCATAAATTCTTACATCTGATTCTTGCTGTACTAAGAAAAACAGTAACACAAAAGAGAGAGGGGCAAAGCAGTAATAGGCTAACATGTATAAGTTTCAGTTTCGATTGACTCTGTTAGAACTGATGCAGCTAGTCTAACGCTTCCACTTACTGTCAGTGTTGTCCTTGACGTTATCATTAGCTATGCACGTTTCTGTCACATTAGATGCAGACTGCTGTTGATTTAGATTGTTGCACTTTCCACTGTTCACAGCCATCACCAGCTTAGGAATGCACTCACCATGCTCGCCACAAGCCACTTCCATCACTGGAAACCGGAAGCAATTGGTATGACATGATCTGTAGCGTCAAGTCAAACTACCTCAAATGCAAACAGCACAAGCAGCTGCTCCTCAGGCACAGTTTTCCAATTAAGCATCAAATATGGTGGTAGTTTCATGCCATCTTATAACACCATCATCATAACAGCCTTGGATCTCCCAACTACAAAGCAGGAGTCAACCACGACGTTCACACCTTTTGATAGATCCTATTTGACACTAGTCCTTCTTTTCTCGACATTATCTGCCACTTTTCTAACCTTAACTGGTGATGTACAGTCCGGGAGAAAGCAGCAGAAACAATATCTAATTTTCTTCAACTTTCTTTGTGTCTACTGATATTTCCTTTGCTTCCTCAGGCCTTTCAGCACAGCTTGTATGGGGGAAATTTAGTCTGGCAGAGGCCTGGGAGACTGCACATCACTGGTTACATGACCACGATCTTACAGAATTACCACAAAATTATAGCTATGATTATTGTTCTGACAGCTCGTCTACTGAGCTTAAAACATGTTTCTGTCTCTCATTTGTTATGCCATGATACGATGTTAGCATACACTCATATTCATGATCGTTGTTACAAATTCATATTTATTTATTTCTGCGGCATAATAGTAAGTGGCAATTTCACCCTAAATTCATTACCTTTATTACAGAGGAGGGCAAAATTAATGCCTGTAAGCCGGACTGCCAGCCAGACCATCACTCAGAGGTTAACAATGATTTAGCAGTAAACTACTGTGACACACACAGCCAGTTCAGTCATGATCCATGGCTATTAATTGCTTAAAGAAGAAACTAAAAAACGTTTTGCATTATAAAAATATATGTATCACCTGGTCTGAGCTCTACATTATTGTGAATATAATACATCTAACATGCATATTCCCCCAATATTTAAATGAATCACACTTTACTGTTCAGATTCATGGTAAATGTAATCATACATCTGTTTAACTGTAATTGCACGTTTGTGAACAAGTATTAATTTGTTCAAACTGTGAAGCTGACAGTCACATGTCCCTTCCATAAACATAAACTATATCACAGGACTGTTATGAATTCTGAACTAAAATTACGACAGGAGAACAATTCTGAAGGAACATTACTCCTCAATCGGATACATACCGTAGTCTGCTGGATTGTGGTAGCTCGGACATTCAAATCCCACCGAGGAAAGAAAGGGCACTAGCCCCTGAACACTGCCCTGGTAGATACATTGTCCTTCAGCTAGAGTCAACAAGTGGTCAAACATCTCAAAAAGCCTGGCACTCGGCTGGTGAATGGTACAGATGATTGTGCGGCCACCTCGAGCCAGGGACTTCAACAGGGAGAGGCACTGGAAACATGACGAGCTGTCCAAACCACTGCAACAGTGATCAATTATTACTTATGTTAGAACTGCAGTTTACAAGGTGAGGAAAATGATGATGCCATTTTGGGTTCTGGCATCATGTAGACTGTATGCCAAAACCCAGAAGAATATCATCATTCCTCACATTAACATGCTGTGTATATGTCACAGTGAATATCATTATTTTGTAGTTGAGCATGACCACGGATCTTTCTTTCTGTGCATTATGTTGTTTGGGCCTGACCTGTTGCTCTGATACATCATGCCTAATCAGTGCTGACTTCATCTCAGTACAAGAAGATTAAATGACAAATACTCAACTGCTTACTGCAGAGGTCGCCAACCTTTTTCTGCCTATGGGCACATTTGAGAGTTTATGAGATCGTGGCAGGCATCAACCAATTAACAAAGCCAAATTTTCTTTTCTCTGGACAAATAAGATATGGACACCAAATAATAAGCAAAGCAACATGACGTTTAATGATACAAGAAACCACACAATCAAAAATACGTAGTTTTATAAGTACAATAATTATTACTCAAGTGGGAAGTTGCATTTCATTGGCCAGTTTTTCAAATTTGGGAGTGTAGGATGTTGTTGCTGCTCGCAAACAATCGTCAAGATGGGCATCAGTAAGTCGAGATCTGTGCTTTGATTTTATAATGTTCATGGTTGAACAGCCTTCATTATTCAGTATAACCCCTTTCCGTAACAACGCGGGCGCCCAAAAAAAGCCTTGGCGGGCACCGCGTTGGGGACTACTGGTTTACAGTAATGATTTCTTTTGATGAAATCTGCAACCTAAACAAATTCATATTTCCTTCTGGATTCCCAAAATGAATGATACATCTTTGGCTACTGAATGGTTGAACCCATCAAGGATAAAGTTGGGATTATATTGTTTAACTCTAAATATGTCAACAACCCCACATGTCAAAGAAACATAAGACCATGTTTTGCTGAATGTTGGTGCTTCGGGCAAAACAATTTTGCACATAAAAGATTTGAGGCATTTAAATTTAAAATCAGGCTGGTTCACACTATCACTACTCTATTCCCCAAGATGGTGGCCAGCCTGAATCAACACAATCATGAGCAGGATACTTTTTGCTCTTGTGTTCTTTCTCTATCCACTGTAAGTGCTGCATACTGGTATGAAACGCTACAGTTAATTTATTTCTCTGTTGATATTAGTAGCTGATGGCACTACAGAAAGCCAGCAGAATCATTAGCATTAAAAAGATACTTAATTACACACTCCTTTTACTCTCTCAATGAATTTCTGTTGTTTACAAATAAGTGATAATTTATCTTCTGTATGTAATGGGTAGATTTATTTGTAACTTTTCATTGCTTTAGGTGAACCTTTTGTTGTATTATGTGAGATTTATTTATATAACAGTATGAATTGTACGTTATAATATGTATTGTATTATTATTATGAATTTGTCCACATCCTATTGTCATCTGACTATCTTATGGATCTACGGAATGTAATAAAAATGTATGTATGTAATCTAAGGTGTAACAAATGTAAAATTTTTCATTAAATTACTGGTAACAACAGACATAAAAAAATGTAAGTATACATGCGTTCTACCCAAATCAAAGGTAAAGAATGTGCATTTGAGTGGAAACTCACAGAAGGATGAAGGATTGTGGGCATCAGAAGATCTGTTCAGAACTTCTTGTTATTTCAGGTTTTCAGATTTAATCTCTTCTGAATAAATCACTGTATCTTACCCCCATTTCAAGAGTTGTAAGACCTTTGATATGTCGCATTAAGTCTCACCTTGTTGGTTCATCAAAGAACATTACTGGTGGATTATTCACAAGCTCTAAGGCAATAGAAAGGCGCTTCCGCTGTCCCCCAGAGAGGTTTGTAGTTCGAGTGTTGCAACATTCCACAAGTCCAAGTGTCTCCATTATTTCTTCAATCTGGGCAAATACAGTAAAAGTGCACTATCATGACCACTGATGAGACAAGAATTGCAATAACAACCGTATGGTACAAAAATACTAATATACCGAACGAAACACAGGACAATAAAAAATTGTATCCTGAGTCTCTTCTTAACACAATTTGTACACTTATACTGTTATTCCATTATGCACTAACCAACTGTGTACTAATAATCACAGATAATGGTAAAGCGCTATCCCATCAATCTGACTCGGTGATATTTCTGATATTCGTCTTTCTGGCAATTTAATTTATCCATAATCACAGATAATGGTAAAGCGCTATCCCATCAATCTGACTTGGTGATATTTCTGATATTCCTGTCTTTCTGGCAATTTGATTTATCCACGGTTCGAAGGCCAAGAAGTGTGCCATTCAACCCCTTGAGCCCGTCTTGGAAGTAAATGGACAAAAAGGTAGATAAATTAGCTGGAATCAGCCACATGGACCTTTCATCATGGTTACAGATCAGACTCCCTTTGTGCATTCTTTGCAGAGTTTAAACAAACTGATATTGGGCTGATCGTGTCAGTCCGTCCACTTGTTTCAGCTTGAGACCTGCTAGACAGATTCTGATAGAATCTAGTGCCACTGGAGGCTACCTCAAATTCATACTTTTTAAGTTCCTACAATCAGTAATACCAACATGGCAGACATATAAAGTTGCAAGGTTTGGGCGACAATAGCACCACTTAATATAGGATCCTGAAATGATGTACGCTGATTAAAAAAATTATACTGTAGTCAACACATAATTATTCATGTGACTTTCTTTCACGCAGAGGAAATTAAGCTATCGACGAACAACTTTCGGTGCCTGCTACAGAGGTGCGCGGGGTTCGTTGTAGGAAGGTCAGCAGAAGATATACTAGACGTAATTTATTCCTAAATTCAGTAAGATATTCATACGCAGTCCATAGAGCTTTACTTACGACGATACGTTTGGCATTGCTTGAAGTCTGTTTGCCCAGTTTTAGATTAGCAGAGACTGTCATAGCTTCACGGACAGTAAGATGAGGCATCAGTTGATCGTCCTGCATAATGTAACACGACATCTTCCTGAAGTGCCGCAGCTTGCGCTCCTTCCCATTTATAAGCAGAGTTCCATTAAGATGTGACGTTCTAGAGAACAGAAAGTAACAGTGTTACAAACTTTTGCTATCTCTTACACACTGACACAGTTTGACAGCTAATAACTACGTAACACCCGGCTACTCAAACAACGGATATTATCGACGTATTCAAAAGAGCTGCCTCTTGGTACAAAACCTACGTTTCATCACCGTCCACACAAAAGCCAAATCCTGAGCCTGTACATTACAAGCTCGTGTTCTCATGACCAACCCAAAATCAAATTCTATATTATCCTCCCACGTATACATGGGTACCAAATTAAATGTTCTGTATATTTTTTTTGTTTCATCCGTATGTGGCACACAGTGAATGTAATTGTAATTTTATGTCAGTTTTTAGATTTTTGGAATGAACGCACGAAGAACGTTACCCACTTGTAGCCAGCAAGGATGTTCATGAGGGTACTCTTCCCAGCTCCTGATGGTCCCATGATTGCAGTCAGTTCACTTGACCGGAACTTCCCACTAATGTTTTTAAGGATAGTTTTGTACCCTGAAACACAAAGAGACGTGTTGTCATTGGCTAGCATGAACATTATAAGAAGCAAAGACGCCTCTGCCCAAAGCTCGCAGTGAGATCAGTAGTCAAGTTTACATTGTGGCTGCCTTTATTTCTGGATATAAATTCTTGTTCTTATTACATAGAAGGGTGAGTTAGCCACAGAGTTAGTTAGAAAGCTGGTTGTTTTCTTAGTTACTAGATGATTATTTACATATCTAACTACTTATTCAGCCAATTACTAAGACAATTAGTTATTTAGTTGGTAAGTCTTCATAAAGTGTTACTAAGTAATGCATCACACTTTCCAATCTTACCTCGTCTTCTTCCTTCAGATACAGAGTAGGCGAGATTTGCAAACTGAATGTCCACGGGAAGCCGCTTTGGAAGGTGGCTCAATTCATTGGGTTTCTTCTGATTGGTGGCAGCACTGCCACTGGAGAATCCCATGGAAGGCAGCGTGCAGCTCTTGTTAGGGACCTTCTTGACCAGCTGGCCCCCACTGCCGACTGCACTCAACGGAGTCACAAGATTTGGACTGCTGCAAATTGGTGTAACACAAAGAGTGGATGAAGTTTCTTTTACACAAGCATGAGGAACCTGGTCCAGGCAAGACATTAAATGCCGATTCTGATGACAAGGGAAGATTATTATCCACACTGCTGTTGAGATAATTCTCAACAGGAAAATTTAATCTACTGTTCAGTATTGAATTCTGGGGTCCGAAGTAACCGCGCGGTCTGAGGCGTGGGCCTTGTGCCGCTTGGTCGCTGGGACCATGGGTTCGAATTCCACTCAAGCCATGGATGTTTGTCTGCATTTTTCTGTGTTGTGCTGTCCTGTGTACAGGTAGAGGC